CTGGATAGGACTCCTATATTAAACCTCACCCACCCATGGCTCAGGAGGCCATTGCAGAAGAGTGGGCAGAAAGGTTCTAAGAGCCAGGGTTGGTGCACGAACATAAGGAGACAGAGTCTTCCAGGCTTCTGGGAACTTGCATCAGTGGTGTTAGCATGCACAAGACCCACACAAACTTAATCATACAAAAACCTAGCATAGAACTGGGAAATGGGCAGCAGGCCCCAGCCTTAGCCAAGGAACTATTATTGGTAACTGATTACTGCTAGGTGAGGGAGAGTTGATCTTTAAGGGAGTGACTGTAGACAGGGAGACTTGATGCCAATGGATGAATTTGTGCTGAGGGACATCTGTGTACACTCACTTGATAGGCCTTAACATATGACAGAATGCGTGAAACCTGGTGGGGGATGGTTAGGGGGTGTGGATGATGGAGAGGGTCTAAATATGATTAAGATGTATGAAATGCAACATATTCAATAAAATACACATTGAGAAAAAAAGACTTGTATGAAATTCTCAAAAAAATTCTAAAAGACGCAGTAAGGGGGTATAGGTCCATGGTAAAGGAGCTTACCTGGCATGCTCTAGATGCTGAATTCCATTCCAAGCATCTCCTTTTTCTTCCCTACTTCCTGAAAGAAAGGGAGGGAAGTAAAAAGTTCATAGGGACTCAGATTTTCCCTGCGCAATAGGATAAATCTATTTGCTATGATATAATGGAAGATTATAAGAAATGTTAGTATTCCTTTTTAAATATTTCATTTATTATTTTTATTTTATGTGTATGAGTGTATTACCTGCCTGTGTGTAAATATACCCATATCTTAAAATGCCACAGAGGTCAGAAGAGGGCATCGGATTCCCCTGGAATTGGATGTAAGGATGGTTCTTGGCCACCATGTGGGTGCTGGGCATGGAACCTGGGTCCTCTGCAAGAGCAGTTAGTGCTCTTAACCGCTGAGCTATCTCTCCAGCCCCAAGAAATGTTAGTATTCTATGGTCACATTTTAAATTTGAGTTTAAAAGCCAATCACTAGTATTATGAGCCTAGCCTTCTCTAAAATCTGAAATACTCTACATCCAAAACTTGTTACAGATTTTTGTAATATGATTATTCAGCTGGTGGAGTTTATACAAACATTTCAGAATGGGGGGAAATTTTTGAAACACTTCTGATCCCAAAGCATTTTAGAAAAAGGATACCAAACAATATTTGAAAATTGTTTTACTTTGCTTGTATTTTGTTGGCTGCATTTAGTCATATGCACACCTAATTTTGAAAGGAGTGGAGACATGCAGGAATAGGAATATTTCTGAGCAGCTTGAATTCTGTATTTTAGGATGTCCAAATGGAAACAACAAATAGGTTGTTCAGTCTGACTTTGCCATTTAGGATCTTGTGGAACTTGTGACAATGAAGCCATTGGGTTAAATTAAATCATTTGGAAAAAGACAAAAGGGACTAAAAGGTGGCATTCCAATATTGGTGGTGTGTGTGTGTGTGTGTGTGTGTATGCGTGTGTGCGTGCGTGTGCTAGCTGTGAAGACAAGGAAAAGCCAGCAAAGTAGATTGGGAAGGAAAAGGGAAAATCGATCGTAGAGCTAAATAAAAGAAAATGGTTCACGTGATGTTAACAAATATTTTTGTATATTTTTGGTGTGTGTAAGCAATTTTGTATGAATTAAAGGCCAATGCGGTATGACTGTTTTAACTTCAAGGTAATGTATATTGCTTTCCAAAGAGATCAAATCAGCTTTCTCTCTAGTCATGCATGAGTGTTCTCTTCACCTTTTCTTCAGAGAGAATATCATTCTCCTTAGTTTTTACCAACTAAGGATACAAAATGTAGTTAAAAAATGTTACCCCAGAAAGACTCTGTTTAATTTCTATTTCTGCTTAGTAATTAGTAAATTTTAAAGTCATTTTCTGTTTATTAGCCATGTATGGTTCCTATTTTGTAAAATGTTTATATTGTATATTTTTCTATTGCTTTACTATTACTTACAAGAGTTTCTTATAAGTATAATTAATATTTGACTACAATAGCATTTATTCATCTTTGCTTTTTAAATCTTTTTGAAATTGAGGCAGTTTAATTTATTGGTTGAAGGAGAATTAACAGCTTTATAATGCTGTATTTGCATTCCTTAGATCCATTTGTTTTATTAAAGTTCTTGTATCTTCAGAAAATTGATCCTGTTAATGGAATCTTATTCCTCTATACTTCAAGTTGTTTTCTCTTCCATTTTCTAAGGAGACAAAGATATTTTTCCTGTGCTCTGTGTCTTATAAATCCATGTGGAATAAACTATTTGGTTTGAGAGAGCCATATCATTGCTTTCCATTTATTTAACTGTCTAGCAGCTATTGAATAATTCAATACTTTTTCCAAATGATTTATATTGCCACTTCTGTGATTTTTAAAATATTTTGGTAAAATAGCACATAGCATAAGATTAACCGTTTTAGCCATTTTAAGTGTACAGTTGAATTACACTAAGTGCATTCATATGTTATATAACCATTACCACTGTCCAACTCTAGAATATTTTTCATGTTTATATACTGGAAGTGGCTACCTGTTACACAGTAACTGCCACCTCTCTCACGTACAGAACCAGTCACAACTCTCATTCTGCTTGGTCTGTATGAAATTGACTTTTTCAGACACTTAATGTTTAAGTGGAATCACAGTGTTTATACCCCTGTGACTGGCTCATTTCACTCAGTGTAATGTCCTCAGTATTCATCTATGTTGTAGCTTATGTCGGATATACTTCCTTTTGAATTCAGAATAATCTGTCATTGTATGGGTGTACCATATTTTGTTTACCCATTCATCTAATAATGGATTTTTAAGTTGCTTTTATTTTATGACTTTTGTGGCTGATGTTACTGTGATCATATTCTGTTTAGGATAGGAATTGCTGGGTCTGTGTTTAATTTTTTAAATTAATTTTTGTTTTATGTATGAGTGTTTTGCCTGCATGTGTGTTAAGTGCACCATACATGTGCAGTGCCCACAAAGACCAAAAGAGGGTATAGATCCCCTGGAACTGGAGTTACAGGCAGTTGTTAGCTGCCATGTGGGTACTGGGAACTGAACCAAGGTCCTCTCAAGAGCAGCCAGTGCTCTTAAGCCACTGATCCATCTCCCAGCTCCATATTTTTTTTTTTTTGGAACCTCTAATGTTTATTTTCTACAGCTGCACTGTTTTATACCTGTCTAGCAATACACAGTGGTTAAAATTTCTCTACATCTTTACCAACACTTTATAGGTTTTTAACCAAAGCTGTCCTAAATAGCTGTGAAGTAGTATCCCAACTCTTCCCCCCTCCCCCCTTCCTTCCTTCCTTGTTTCATATTTTTGTTTTTTTTTAAGGTAGGGTCATCTTGTAGCCACTTCCAGATGCCTGGAAGTCCCTATGTGGACCAGGCTGACCTTGATCTCCCCACCTGCCTCTGCCTCAGGAGTGCTGGGATCAAAGGCGTGCACCACCACACCCGGCAGGGTATCTATCTTATTGTCATTATTTCCCTAGTGATTGAGGATGAGCATCTTTCCTTTTGCTTGTGTGCTATTTATTCCTTTTGAGAAATGCCTACTCAAGTCCTTTGCTCATTTTTTAAATAGACTTTTTGTTTTTGAATTGTAGAAAGCTTCTATATATTATGGATATATAACAAGCATGATTTATACATCCTTTCCCCATGTTGTTGGGTGGGGGTTGGTCTTTTTGAGACAGGCCTCCCTGTAGCTCCAGCTGCCCTGGAACTCACTATGTAGACCAGGCTGGCCTTGAACTCACAGAGATCTGCGTGCCTCTGCCTCTTGAGTGCTGGAATTAAAGCCGTGTGCCACCACGCCTGGCGTGGGTTGCCTTTTTACTCTTGTTGATGTTCGTTACACAGAAGTTTTAAAATTTGATATAGACTCATATTTCTGGTTTTGCTTTTGTTGTCTGTATTTTGCTGTTATGTTCAAGAAATCGTTTCCAAATCCAGTGTCATGAAGCTTTGTCTTTAAGATCTTTGATCATAATATGTTTAGGTCTTTGATCCATTTTCAATTAAATTTTACACATGGTGTCAGGTAAGGGGTTCAACTTTATTGTTTCACTTGTGAATATCTATTTTTCTCAGCACCATTTGTTGAAGGCTTTTTTTTTCCCCTACTGAATGGTCATGACATGACATTAAAAATCCCGACAGACTTTATTACTGGACTCTTTTTTTTTTTTCCATTTATCTGTGTTTTTCTGTCAATTCCATTCTGTTTTGAGTACTCTAGTTTTGTGCTAAGCTTCTAATTACTTTTATGTATTTGAATAGAGAACACAAATGACTTTTAATGGTGATCTAGAAACTGGCCTGGACTAGTGGTAATGGTGCAGACCTGTTTCAGCTTCTTGGGGCAGAGACAGGAAGATCACAAGGTTAGGGCCTACCTGTGCTACAGAGTGATTTAAAGGCCAGCCCCAGCAACTGAGTGAGATTCTGTCTCGGAAAAAAATGTGAAGAGGGGTTGGGATGTAGCTAGTAGTTGTAGCTCAGTAGTTGCAAGCTTACCTAGCTCTGAGCTCAAGCCCTAGGTCTAGTACTGTATCTGTACTAAAATGTAGTTAGTATCTGTTATAGTGATAAAATTGTAACTTCTCAAAATTTGTTTCTGTCTACTTAACACTAGTTTAAAGATTAATAACATTGATAACATTGTTTTTTTTTAATAGCACTTCTAATATTTTATCACAGTATGATGGATTTTTTGGTTTGAGGCTGACATCAAAAAACCTACTTGTAATTGGACATTTAATTCTAACTTTTTTTTTTTTTTTTGGTCAAGATCTGGAATACAATGTTGGTCTGAAGGTATTTGAAAAGAATTCGTCTCAGAGCTGGTTAGATTCATATATATGACTTTGTGTAGAGAACCTTGACTAAATGACCTTTTTTGGGTTTTGTTTTGTTTGTTGTTTCCTTTTATTTCTTTTTTAGAATGGGCAGAGTTTTTTGGTCTTGGATGAACAAAGATTTGCAAAAGAAATTCTTCCCAAATACTTCAAGCACAATAACATGGCCAGCTTTGTGAGACAACTAAATATGTGTAAGTATGACTGACAAGTTTTTGTTTGTTTTGAGACAGGATCTCCCTGTAGCCCCAGATGGCCTGTAACGTACCATGTAGACCAGGTTGGCCTTTATCTCACAGAGATCCACTTGCCTCTGCCTCCTGAGCATTGAGACTAAAGGCGTGTGCCACCATGCCTGACCTGACTAGCAGGGTTTTTGTGTGATTAAACCATTTTTTTCATTAGAATAATAAATAAAATTCTGTATAAGCTTTATTTCTGACTTGTCTAATTTTAGTCATGTAAATTTTGAATCATTTTCAGATGGCTTCCGAAAAGTAGTACATATTGACTCTGGAATTGTAAAGCAGGAAAGAGATGGCCCTGTTGAATTTCAGCATCCTTACTTCAAACAAGGCCAGGATGACTTGTTGGAGAATATTAAAAGGAAGGTGAGCTTTTGTTAAAAATACAATTTTTATTTAAGCTTCAGAATTTGAGTACAGAAAAGGCCAGGTATGGTAGCACATACCTGTATCCCAGCACTTGGGAGACAGCGGCAGATCTTTGAAGTTTGAGTCCTGCCTGGACTATGGAGTGAAAGCTCATTGTCCCCTCCCCTCATTAATAACGAATATATAAATGAAAATGTATACAGAAAATTAGACTAATAAAGCTTTGATTAATTACCTCCCATTCCCAACATTCAGGACTCAACTCTGCTGAGGGTGCAGCCTTTATAGAGGGAAGGAAAAATGTTCAGTGTGTTGTGACAGAGGGTGAAGTTATCCGTTGTAATGGGAGGGTTCATTCCTAAGTTGGCTGAATAAAAAAGCTTCTGCTAGAATATCAGCCTCCTGGAGGACTTCTGTTTTAGTTCAAAATTTGGTTCATAATCTAGTATCAGAAATAAGTCCCTACCATACAGAAGGCAGGCATACTACATCACATTTTTTAATGAATACTATCTTCTAAAATAAGATTTTTACTACATTCATAAAGTGTGGATAGAAAGGGTTGAGGATTTAGTTCAGTGGTAGAGTTCTTTTGTCTAGCATGCACAAGGTTTTGGGTTCAGTTCCCCTCATTACCATAAAGGGGGGGGCAGTGAGAAAGTGAGGGAGGGAGAGGGATGGCATAAAGCCTAACCATAGAGTATTATACCTAACAAGAACAAGACCTTGAGCTTAATTGCTAATACTGCAGAATAAAAACAAGGTGGATGGCCCATGGAAGAAAATGTCCGATTGTACAGTTATTGCTGCATAATTTTAACTAAATGTGAACTGTGATAACATTTTTATTCATTCTTGCTGTTGTAATGAGATGGCTTATTCCTGTGTGCTGGTAAAAAAAAAAAAAAATCCACAAAAGTAAAATTATTTCTTGACTTCTCTTGTATTAAACTAGCAGGTTATTCTTTCCCTAGAATTTCATCTGGAATTTTTGGAACTAGATCTTACTTCTTGAATAGGTTTTAGAGAAGTTTTGAATTACAGTGATGGGGATTTAATATATATTTAATTTTCTGAATTTCTATTTTGAAAGGTTTCGGCTACAAAACCAGAGGAAAATAAAATTCGTCAGGAAGATTTAACAAAAATTATTAGTAGTGCTCAGAAGGTTCAAATAAAACAAGAAACTATTGAGTCCAGACTTTCAGAATTAAAAAGGTAAAAGTATTTTTATTTCCAGAAATAATCCTAATATGGAGATTCGAGGGGTGTATGTTGGGGTCTTCATGTTGGGGTCGGCTGTTTTAAGTAGTCTATTAAAGCCAAGATCAAAGGTCGTTTTTCTGTTACTCTCTTTACTTTTGTTTTTTATCATAATAATAGGTTTTAATTACAGTGATCAGAATACTATAAACCTAGGCACAAAGCTTAGCTTCCTTCTCAAACAATAGATCTTTCAAGTTAGTGTAGTAAATACAGTCCTGCATAGGTTAGTTTTCATATGGTGTTCACAAATAAATGAGGGCACACACTAAAGAGCTTACATATTTTTTTAATGACTGCTTCCTAAAATTCCTTCTTGTGGTCCTCTTAGGAAAAAGTAGGACAGAAGATAGAAGAAAAAAGCATAAGAAAGTTGCCCTACTTGATAGTTATTTCCCTTTTTAAAAAATTTTTATTTATAGGCCAGGTGTGGTAGTGCACGCCTTTAATTCCAGTACTCAGGAGGCAGAGGCAGGAGGATCTCTGTGAGTTCAAGGCCAGCCTGGTCTACATAGTGAGTTCCAGGCCAGCGGGACTACAGGGAGACCCTGTCTCAATAAGAACAACAATTTTTTTTTTTTATTTTTTGTGTGTATGAGTATATTGCCTGCATGTATGTAAGTGCACCTGGGTTGTACAAAACCTGTAGATGCCAGAAGAGGACGTTGGATGCCCTGGAACTGAGGGATGCTTGTTAGCCACTATGTGGGTACCAGGTCTTCTGCAAAAGTAGCTGATGCTTTTAACTGCTGAGCCATCTCTCCAGCCCTTGTTGCTTATTTCATATAGACCCAGGAAAGAGTTATTCAACGTTTTATCTTGTTTTACTATATTACTTTGTAGCATTTTCCTAGCTGCCACACTAATAATTTATATATAGATTAAACATGTTTTATTCTTACACAGCTGGGATTTCCTCTCAGTACTTAACACGAGCTTGAGAATTATTATTTTATGCATTCCATTTCTCCAATTAGTTATTCCTAACTTGAATAGCTTCATGAAGAGTAACTTTGGACTTTGATTCCTTGTTTGAATAAGCTTTAAGCTTTCCAGTTTTGCTTATTTTATCTAACTAATTACACTATTTGCTGTATTTATCTTGTGCCAGCTACTTGTGTCCTTGAACCTAATTCTTCGGATTTCAGTTTAGCCCTTAGGGAAACTGATCATTGACTCACCCTTAAATCTTAGAGGTAGCTATCTTCTACTTTAATAGGCAGATAGCATCTCTAAATTTGATTTTGAAAAAATACAGTAATTATTCATTAAGTACTAAAAACAGTTTCCATTTTTATGCCTTTATATGCAAATCCAGTGTGTAGATTGAGGAAGGTAGTTTTTGTAGAGATTAAACAAAGTTTAAAAACTTGATGATTTGATAATTCGATTATTTTTATACCCTGTTTGGCCTGCTAATATTTAGGAACTCCATTTTCAATTTTACAAAGACATGAAGGGAAGAAATTTTAAGTGTTGGGTTATTGGTTTGATATTGGATTTATGTCTTTAAGGAAAAAAAAACTTAAAAGGCTGCATATGACACTAGACGACGACTTTGATCTCAGTACTCTGAGGCAGAGGCAGGAGGATCTCTTGAGTTCAAGGCCAGCCTGAGTTACATAGCAAGTTTGGGGCCAGTCAGGGTTACATAGTGAGATCCTGTTTTTTAAAAAAAATCAAAAAGTAGAATTTACTTTTGCATGTGTTTGAGTCAGATCTTAAGATAATTTTAGAATTTCATAGACTTTAGTTTTGTTATAGCAGTTGCAGAATTATTTGTAAGATTGGACAGGTTCCTTCAGCTCTGTAGACCTCAATGTCCTTGTCTAGAATGCAATGATAATGATTCCTTTCTTGGCAGTGTTTAGAGAAGTTTAAAAAATTCACACACATGATGTTTAGCATAGTGTCTGGAGCATATCAAGTACTGGGTAAATGCCACTTTTCCTTGTTTCCTGAGGTGATTCACAGAATCTGAATCTACTGCTATTCATTTTAAAGCTTAGCTTATTTTTAAGCAAGAAACTTTACTAGGTTGTCAAAAGGAGTAAATTGCCTCTACTGTGTGATGTAATTTATGTCTTAAGGATTTTTACATATATTGCCCAAACTAGCAGATAATGCATTTAAGAAATAATTCTATAGTTGTGTTGAGGTAGTTGCCATCACCATGTAATCAAACCAGTTTTCTTGTGGTCTCATAAAAAAGTATTCTATAGTAGAAGTATAGGTGTCTAGTTATCTAAGTAAAGGTCTCACTGTGTAGCTCAGGTTGACCTTGAACTTGCAGTCTTCATGAGTACTGAAGTTCTCTGGTTTTCTTGATTCAAGATGTTGAGACTAGTTCTTCTTAATATTTTTTGTTTGTTTTGGTTTCTAAATAAACTTTTAATGTAGTGAGAACGAATCCCTTTGGAAGGAGGTGTCAGAATTAAGAGCAAAGCACGCACAACAGCAACAAGTTATTAGAAAGGTAAGAAGCCCCCAGCTCCACACTAGAATTTCTATTTGTTAATAAGTAAACAGTATTACTGTGTTTTGTGCACTTTTTTTAAAAATACTTTTTGCTCTAATAGGCATAGTTAATTTTTTAGTCACTTGACCACATTAGGAGTTCAACAGTGGTTTTCCAGTATATGCTAAAAACTTTGTATAAAAATAGCTATTAATGTTATAAGTTCTAGATATTGAGCTGAAAATTAATGGAGGAATTAGAATTTGTCCATGGCATTGTGTGCTTGTGATTTAGTCGTTGTGTATCAGTTTTCATTTGCCATTAAGAGGAGAAGCATATGAGTAATTAAGGGATCATTGTTTTTGCCTGTGACTAAACTAGACCCACAGCAACAAGTTCTTTTGAGGGGGGGTAGGTAGGGGAGAGATTCATCTTGTTCGTTCTTGAAAAGGCCCTTGAGCCAAAAATAGGCCTATGACTGACAAAATCTGGATCTAGTAAGACAGGCTTAGGCCAGAGATGAATAACAGTTGTTGTATTTGGCCTATGCTCAAAATAGATGTACTCATTTTAAAAATAAAGTGAGCAAATGAAGACTAAATGTAATTGAATGCAATTCTGTACAATTTAATTTGGGTCCATGTAGTTTAAAGACCTCTAGGCAGTTCTAGTACATGTCCTTGTAAAAGATATCTGAGTTAAAATGATAGTGTGTTCTTAAACCTGTACTTTGTAGAAGGAGTCTGTTAATTATTTTTCACAGAACGTGTTTTGATTAAATATTAACTTCTTCATCTGTAGATTTTTTTTTAATAAAAGCGATCATAGTTGAACATCATTTTTCACCAACACTAGTATTGCCTGCTCAACTTTGAGTTTGAAGATTTTTTTGTGTGTGTGAAGTTTAAATAATGCGTAACAGCCAATAACTTTTATTCTTCCCTGGAACTATCCTAACTTTGAAATTTACTGTTTGGTCTTAGATTGGGGTAGTAGGATGTAGGAAGTTCCAGTTATATTGAGCTTGTTAATGTATAGCAGGTAAATGCTAAATATTAGATGCCTCAACTCCTTCAGAGGAAAAATAAAACTTGACGACATGATTCAGTTCAAAAGAGAACTGAGATGAAGACAGATTTAGCCAGTGATTTATGTTCTCACAAATCAAGTCAGTGTGTTGTTTTGGAATTTTCCTGTAACGTTTATTTATTTATTTATTTATTTATTTATTATTATTTTGGTCATTTTGAGACAGGGTTTCCCTGTAGCCCCAGCTAGCCTGGAACTCACTTTGTACACCAGGCTGGCCCCGAACTCACAGAGATCTGCCTGCCTCTGCCTCCTAAGTGCTGGGAGGCATGCCCCACCACACCCAGCCTCAGTTTCATTTCTTTAAAATTTATAAATGTGGCTGGATGTGGTGGTGTACGCCTTTAATCCCAGCACATGGGAAGCAGAGGCAGGCTGATCTCTGTGAGTTTGACCAGCCTGGTATATATCACAGTGAAAGATTTATCGTCCTCTTTTTTTTTTTTCCCCCTTAAAAAACCAAAAAAAAAAAAAAAAAAAAAAAAAAAACTGAATCGTCCCATAGTTTTAATTTTGACTTTTTAACAAAATTGTCAGCATTTTCTATTGAATGAGCAAGTGAGCAGCTCTTTTTTAACTCTTAAATTAAAATATTCACTTTTGTCTGTGTTGGGGCTGGAGAGATGGCTCAGTGGTTGAGAGCACTGGCTGCTCTTGAAGAAGACTAGGGTTCAAATCCCAGCACCCACATGGCACTAACAGCCATCTGTAACTCCAGTTCCAGGGATCCAACACCCTCTTCTGACCTCTAAGGGCATTGTACAACATGGGTGCAGTTACATACATGCAGGCAATACACTGATGCACAAAAAGTAAAAATAATAAAGAAAACATTTTAAGTATCTGTTAATTATAAAGCAGACCATTTAGTACTTTCTTTAGGAGTGGGGTTGTACAATGTTATTGCAGTACAGTAGATTTACTTAATATTATTTTATCACATAATTAAATTTCATAAATCTTATGACTGTACAGTCTGTGTAGTTCTCCAGCCATTTTGGCCTTTATTCTTGGACTGTGATATACTGGTTTTCATTGTTTACCTTACAGTCTTCACTTTTTCGTAACATCTTTGGGTAGGATGCTAACAGTTCAATATTAAGGTATAACCTAAGATAATAGTTCTCATATAATGAGTGTTATCTGGAAGGCTTCCTAAACTTCAGTTAATGCATCCATTGCTGGGCCCCACAGAATTCAGATTGAGTATTCTTGTAGTGGAACTGAATGTTTATATGGCTAACAAGATCCTAGGCCAGTGCTGCTGGATGGTGTATTATACTTAAAGAAAATGCCTATAGATAGGGTTTGTTTGTAAGTCCTTTATCTATTTAATAGTTTTCCCTCTAAATTTAATCAGATGTTTGAATTTCTCTGTGTCTCTTAATTGGGAGTATGAAGTTTTGATGGATACATCTAAACAGTAATATTCAAGTCAGCTATTAAACTCATTCTTACCTGAATATTTTATGATTTATTCTAAGAGAGCTGGTAATTCCTTTTGCCCTAATTATATTATCTACTGTTACTGCTTTTGCATTATAAATCTTCCTGAAAACAAGCTAAGTAAAATACTGGAATCTATAGTCAGTCAGAGTTGGTATTATCGACAGAACAGTTAACTTCCTGGAAGCTGGTAATGTTTCGTTATATATCAGTTGTAAGATCCAGATTTCAAATGCTAATATGTGAGAAATTATAAAAAACTTAGAATTAGTTATTTGCTTTAAAGAATGATTTATTTAATGTACAAGAGGGCAGCAAACTGGGTGTTACTAGATCCCTAATTTAATTTGATAAAATTTGATAATGTGAACTAAAGAACTGAGTTTCTGAAAGAATTTTATTTACTTTTTCCTCTCAGATTGTCCAGTTTATTGTTACATTGGTTCAGAATAACCAACTTGTGAGTTTAAAACGTAAAAGGTAAGTTTTTATTAAGTGATATAATTTATAAACATTTTAGCGTTTAATCACCAATGACCTGAATTTGCTGAATGTCTGCCTCTGCAAATTTGCAAAGTGTGCCAAAGAACAGTACTCCCTTGCTAAATTTATATTTGTAATATTTTAAGAGTAATCTTATAGGGTGAATATCTCTTACCAAAATGCTTGGGACTAGAGATATTTAGGTTTTAATTTTTTTTTCAGATTTTTGAATATTTGCATAATGTGAGGTAACTTTGTGATGAAATTTATGGCTGAACTCAAAATTTATGTGTTCCATATACCTTTATGCATATATGCAATCTTTTTGATAATTTTGTGCAAGAGGCAGTTGATGTATAAAGCGGCTGAAAGGGTCCAGAGGGTTTTCATGTTATGTGCCTGAAATTCACTGGCCAGTCACATGAGTGCAAGTGAATTCTGTTGTTCTTGCCTTCATATCAGTGTTCTGGAGATACTCAACCTGTGTATCCTATTAGCACTGTCATCCTTCTGACTTCCTGATTTGGGTTCTTTTTTTTTTTAAAGTTAGGGTCTTATATTACTGAAGGTAGCCTCAAACTCAGTCCTCTCTTCTCTACCTCCTGAGTATGGGATCACAGGCATATATCACCATGCCCAGCTTCTTGCTTATGTTTTTGAGAAATAAGAATAGGCTAACTAAGGTCATTATGGGCATATAGATGTAATTAACAAAGAACCTATTTTTCATTCATGCTAGCAGTTTAAAGTAGCATTAGGCCTGATGAGGGGAACCTTTTTTAAAAAGGCTATTTATGCTGGACATGGTGATGCACGCCTTTAATTCCAGCACTTGGGAAGCAGAGGATCTCATGGGGATCAAGGCCAACCTGGTTCACAGAGTTACTTTCAGGCCAGCTGTGTCTAGGGAGATCCTGTCTCAAAAAAAGAAAAAAAAAAAAAAAACTGTTAGTAGAAAAAAAAACAAATACTATTTGGTTTTTCTCTTTTTTAAAATATATTTTTATTTTATGTACACAAGTGTATTGCTTGCGTGTATGTAAGTGCAGCCATGTCGTCCAATGCCTGGAGAGATTAGAAGAGAGTGTCAGATCCCTTGGAATTTGAATTACACACAGGTGTTAGCTGCCATATGGGTACTAGAATTTGAACCCAGGTCTTCTCCAAGAGCAGCCAGTGTTCTTAACCACTGAGACATCTGAAAAAATATTGGTTTTTTGGTCTTTTTCTTTTTTGGTTTTTTTGAGACAGGGTCTTCCCGTAGTCCCAGCAGACCTGAACTCGCATGTAGACCAGGATGGCCTTGAACTCTCAGAGATCTGCCTGCCTCTGCCTCCCAAGGGCTGGGATTAAAGGCTTTATGACCACGCCTGGTGGGTTTTTCTCTTAAATATAATATACCTAGTCTTTTAAAACTCTGAATCTAAATGGTAGATTGTAGTACCTATAAATGTATTAGCTACTGTTGCCGTTGTTACACCTAAACCAGAGGAATAACTGACAAAAGACCCAAGATGGAAGAAGGAAAGGCTGAACTTATATAAGGCTAGGATTTGGGCAGTTTGATTATGACTAGAACTTTGTGACTCTATTTCTGCTTCCCCTCTTGTTCCATGGTACTTACTTGTTTTATTACTAAGCACGTATATATAAAGAGTTGTATAGTTGTAAAGAGTTTCTTTTGTATTCTTATTGAAGTTTTTTTATTCACTACTAAAGTAAGTGTTGAGGTTTGGATGGGTAAATTATTAGAAACCTTAAAGTCCCTATTTTTTTGCTTTATGGAACTGCATGGATATTATTCTTATTTACAGGCCTCTACTTCTAAACACTAATGGAGCCCAAAAGAAGAATCTATTTCAGCACATAGTCAAAGAACCAACTGATAATCACCATCATAAAGTAATTTTTAATGTATTTTATATTTATTATCTCAAACTAAATTTTATTATGGCAATATTTCATGCAGTCAAAGAAGTTTAGTGAATCATAATGTAAGTGCTCATTCCCCAGCTCTGTTAAATAATGGCATTTTCATTATTTGCTTTAGATTATTTTAAGAAATAAATTACTACAGTTATTCTACCTGCTCGTTCCCAAGCTTCAATATTTGTTATTGCCATGACTTTTTTATATATGTGAATTCAGGAATAATAGTTTGCATTACTTTGTATATATCTAGACTACATATGATGTCATTTTGTACATACTACTCTGCAGTATGATTCTTCCTCTCCTTTAGTGCTAGAGATTGATTGAATTCAGGGCCTCTTACATGCTAGGTATGCAGTTTACCAGTGAGCTGTACCTCCAACACAGTGTGTCCTTTTTGTTGTTTTGAGATTGTTAAAACAGATGTAATTCACTGTGGTGTTGAACAGTACAATAACATAACTGTTGAAGTGTAATGATTATGAATTTTTCTGCTAGCTGATTTCATCTTCTGTGATAAATGTGCACTGATGAGAGTGATTTTCTCTAGGTGTTTAAAAAAAATTTTATACTTTCATTTCATTATGTGCTGTATAATTTGTCAGTCCTACTAATCTACCATCAGACTAACCTACCATCAGACTAGTCCAAATCTCTTTATGATATTGCTCTCATTGATACTTTTTTTTTCCTTTTTTGATGTACTGAGGATCAAATCTGAATCCTTGCTAGTCAAATGCTATACCACTGAGTTTGCACTATGAACTGTTAGAATTTTTAAATACTGCTTCAGGTTTATTATTAAATTATCGAGCTTTTTGTTTTTGTTTTTGTTTTTTGTTCCTGCAACAAAACAGCATTAACTTCAGATGCCAGTCTTCAAATACTTTTATTTAAGTAATCAAGTATACATAGATTTTGTGTTTGGATTGAAAGTGCCTATAAGTAGATGAAGGTTTTTCAGTTAAATGGAATTTATATATTTTAAAGTATTTCATGTCTTTTAGATGATTTCTTTTGAATTTAACTAGAATTTCTATATTTAAAAATACTTGACATATTTTACCTAACATTTAGTATTGAAACCTAAAAATTGCTGCATTATAATAATGTAATAATGACTAGCTTACTTTAGAGAATTGAACTTAATTTAATTAATGTAACTGGTCTGAAAGTACCTGTAATTATTTTCTTTCATTTCTTTGCTAGGCCCTGAACCTAGGGTCCCATGCTTGTTAGGCAAATACTTTACCTTTGAGGTATACCTCCAGCCACCTTTTTGAAAATTTTGTGATATGGTCCCATAAAGCTGTCTAGGCTGCTCTTGATATTATTCTGTAACCCAGCCAGGCCTTAAACTTGCAACCTTCCTGCCTCAGCCTTCTAGTAACTGGGATTATAGGTCTTTGACACCAGGCCTACCTGTGTACCTGCTGCATCTTAATATTTTAAAAAATTATATTGGTAAGATAGCCAAACTATAATTTAACTGTGGAATAATTGGAAGTACTGGTTTTCTCTTAGTGAAACTATTTAATGAGTAAGAATAAAACCTGTGAGATACAGCAACTTCAGATGAAACAATTCCCATTCACACAGTTGGATGTATGATTATGCTTGACATTTCTGAAGGCTGAGAACTTTTTACTATTTCAGTATAAAAAGCACTTTAAAGTTTGAAAGCTCTCTATAGAAACGTTTTTGGGCACGTCAACTACAATAGAGTAGTTGTTAAGTAAAATGCAAGTAATATGCTTCATACCTCTGTAAAGTGGTACTAGTAACCCATTAGTACATGAATCTTAGACTGGCAGATGATAAAGCTGTTTTGTTTACTACTTTATCCTCAACATTTAGTAAATGGTACGTGTCTAGTTTTTTAAAATGATGTCCTTTGTAGCAGTCCATGTATTTTTTTTTTGGTTTTTTTTTTTGTTTTTTTTTTTTTCCTGATTCCTTAGGTTCCACACAGTAGGACTGACGGTTTAAAGGCGAGAGAACGGATTTCAGATGACATAATTATTTATGATGTTACTAATGATAATGCAGATGAAGAAAATATCCCAGTTATTCCAGAAAGTAATGAGGATGTTATATCCGATCCCTCCAGGTAAGGAAGGAATTAAAAGATAAAATTTATGAAAATATTGGTCATTTTTCTTGTCAAAAAGCTAATTTAAAAATCATTTTTGTTCTTTGAACTGATATCTATCTCATACTTGGAGTGTTGAATTGAATAATTGTCCTGCATGATTTAACTAGATAAACCCTATCCTCCTAGAAAACGAGGAAGGAGAATTACTGATTTTTACTCTTTTTTTCTTTGAATTAAACATTTTTCATTGATGCCGTGTGGTTTTCTGTCTTATAAATTGTCAACATTTGTGATTAAGCTACTTACCCAAGAAAAGGAAGCCTTTTTTGATACATGATTTGGGCATTTCCCTAGAGAATGAATGGATAAAATTTACTTTTGTCTGAAATCATACTTGGTTTTTCTTATATTGTTGAAGCTGTAGCCAATACCCTGATATTGTAATTGTTGAAGATGACAATGAAGATGAGTATGCACCTGTCATTCAGAGTGGTGTTCAGAGTGAACCAGCCAGAGAGTCCTTAAGTTCAGGCAGTGATGGCAGCTGCCCTCTCATGTCTAGTGCTGTCCAGCTAAATGGCTCATCTAGTCTGACTGCAGAAGATCCTGTGACCATGATGGATTCCATTTTGAATGATAATATAAACCTTTTGGGAAAGTGAGTGCTTTTCTAGATGTTGTCTAAACTTAATTGCTTTCTTTATTCAGTTCAGTAATAAACCTGAAGTAATATTTAAAAATTTGGTGTCGTCAGTGTAAAAATGTTAGCTCAAGTGGTACAGTGATCTTTTTAGATGGTCACCCCATTTTCTGTTGATTGAGGTTGAGTTCCATAGTGAAAGTGATTTAATTCTCCCATGAAGAGTCTTGGAACTTTCATGGGTTCTTTAGAATTTTTTTAACGAAATTCTTTCTAAGGACTTCATGATTGTAATGTACCAATTCTGTGGATTAGTCCAGTTCCTATTAAGGGACATAGAGCGTTCAAAATGCAATAATTGATAGTATAGAACTGGAATATTAAGAAGTTTTAGACTAATGAGATAGTATAGAAGAAAAAGGTAAATCAGGCTGTTGATGCAGCACCTCTTCTGAAAATTGTGAATTTGTATAAAGAGTATGAATTCTCTTTACAAATTTTCAGAAATTTCAGATCTTGAATGAGATGTGTTAAGATTAGTAACTGTTAAGGACTTAGGATTTCCTAAGGATACTTTGTATAGCTAGATTTCAGTGGTGATTTTAAATGTAAGAATGAAGATAAATAATAAATCGATTTTTTTTTTTTTTTTTTTTTTTAGGGTTGAGCTGTTGGATTATCTTGACAGCATTGATTGCAGTTTAGAGGACTTCCAAGCTATGCTGTCAGGAAGACAGTTTAGCATAGACCCGGATCTTCTGGTTGATGTAGGTATTTTGGGTAATCTTTACTACATTGGTAATTTGCATACAAAGTTAATACTGTTTTTTTTATTCTATACTGTTTTTGCATTTTCTTAAAGATTTTATCAGAAAGCATAAACAGATGGGTTTGGAGCATTGATGAAGAGTGATCACTGTGCCTCTGAGAAGCACTTTAGTTTACTCCCCTGTAATAACATACCACTTCTATTCAGTAGTCCTATTACACCTAGGTCTTGTCTGGACTTGTTATTGTGTATGTATATAGTTTATTCTAGCTAAATTGTCACTGAATAAAGATCTTGGGAAATTAGTAATAGGTCTTGCCTGGACTTGTTATTGTGTATGTATACAGTTTATTATAGACTAAATTGTCACTGAATAAAGATCTTTGGAAATTAGTAATAGAAGTATCTAGCCTGGAAACATCATGGAAACATTTCTTAATCCTTGGGCAATTAACATTTTCTATTCAAAATATGTTATTATATTTCTCATATTTTTTATGCTTTGAGTTCCAAGGCTTCTCTGTTCCAGCCTTTGTTTAGTTTACCACTTGTATCAACTTGGTTCTGACATGATCTGGCTTGAGAATCCCTTTCTGATCATTTCAGTCTTTATCATCTTTCTAACTCATTTTCTTTTTTTTTTTGAGACAAGGTCTCACCATGCAGACTTGGCAGATCTAGAATTTGCTATGTACACCAGGTTGGCCTCAGTCTCACAGAGACCTGCCTGTATCTACCAGGATTAAAGGCGTGTGCTACCACACCCAGTGGATTTTCAGTTTTCTTTTGTCTGTAGCACTCTTCTCACCCTATGCAAAGCTTTCTGTACTTGCTTAGCTTGTCCTGCTCTCTTTTTTTTTCTGTGTTCTGTTCTTTATTCTGAGAAGTTTTTTGCTTACAATACAGCACCTTTCATATCAAAAGAATCTATAGTATCATTTTAATGAAACCAAAAGGAATTAGTGCTTTCTTACTCTCTAGTTGTATTTCTGCTTAATTAGCCCCTTTACATCATTTCTCATGAAATTAGCTTGTCACATGGCTTAATCACTTTTTTTCCAAACCATTAGCACCACAGAAGATGTATTTCACTTTTTTTGAAAGTTTCCTTCCCATGCTGATCAGTGTTGCTATCCTTAAGTAAATTAGGCTTCCACATCAGCTTAAAAACAGTAACCAGTCTCCTTGTGGCCATTAATCCTATCTAGTCCCAACTCTAAATCTAAATCTAGGACCTTTCCAAATGTCTCCTTCCCTCGATTATAAAGATTGAAATAAAATCCCTTAATTGGGGGGTCTATAAGTCCTTATGGTTTTATGACTATGTCCTTTAAATTTGACTTTGAACATTTACTGAATGTGTCAACTTCCCCATATTTGCAGAGAGTAATTCACTGTGCTGCCGATCTTCTCATTAGTGCCTGTTTCCAAGTTTGTATCCTTTGGAGGAAGTACTTCCTCTTTAAAACCAGTTTGTATACCTGCCCTCAGACTCTCTGTCTCTCTGCCACCCCCACTTCTCTCACCTGGCTCCAGTAGATACATATTGTCCACATCTCTTTACAGACCAAGCATTTTGACAAGTTTCTCTGCTCATTTACCATTGTGCTTCTCTAACTCCTTCACTACGACTTCCGAATTGAGTGGCTATGTATTTTTACCTTTTTATTCAGTCCCTTCTGAAGAAACTATGGATCGTCTTGTTTTGTATTTTTTTCTCTCGCCTGTCTCATCTCTTTTGTTTTTTCCACAGCAAGTTAGTTTTGGGTGATTTTACTTGTTTGCTTACTTTCATTTTTTCATTCGTTGGGCAGGTGGGATATTGTTTTAAATTAGGTAAGTCTGGGTTCTGGTATTAGCTCTTGTTACTAAATGTTACTGTTCATCTTGGAAAGGTCAACTTTGTTTTTTTTTGGTTTTTGGGGGTGTTTTTTGAGACAGGGTCTCTTGGATCCTCAGGCTAGCCTCTTAACTCCTGAGTGCTGGAATTACAGGCTTGCACCACTATACCTAGTTATTACAGTGCTGGAGATTGAAGTTAGAGTTTCATATTTTCTTTTTTTGGTCTTTTCGAGACAAGGTCTCCCTGTAGCCCCAGCTGTCCTGGATTCACTATGGAGACCAGGCTGGCCTCGAACTCACAGAGATCCACCTGCCTGTGCCTCCCGAGTGTTGGGATTAAAGGTGCGCACCACCACGCCCGGCAGATTTTCATATTTTTGTGCATGCTAGGCAAACCCTCTACTGAGTTACATCCCCAGTGTGGAAAAGTTAACGTTCTTTTCCAAGTTCTCCATTAAGTTTGACTAATGCCTAACATGAAGGGCTATGGTGGGGGGGTTAAAAAAAATTAACCCTATTACTAATACTGCATTTTAGTATTATGAGTAATTTGCAACAGAATTTGTTTATGAGACAAGACCTTACATAACACAGACTGGTCTTGCACTCATTATGTATCCAGGGCTATTGAATTTGTGACCATCCTGTTTCCACCTCTCAGGTGCTGGAATTACAGGTGTGCCATACAGCAGAATTTTTTGTTGTTGATTTTAGAGGCACTGGGCCTCTTTTTGTGTGCCTAGGCACTCTGTTTCCTCTAAGAACTATTCTTTTTCCTGACATCTTCTACTTGGGGGCACTCAATTTTGTATCCTTTTATAAATTTTATCTACCTCTTTGTTTTTCCTGTGTGAAGTAATTTTGAGTTTTAAATTGCTCTGAAATGTATGTTTATCTGTTTCTTAACTTTTTTCAATTCAAACTTGGCTTGAATTCCACTTCCATGACTCGGGGATCATCACCATTATATTTGTCTGTCTTTAGATTATTTAAGTTCAGTGCCTAACCTTATTTCTTAAACTCCCTGCCGTTTATACTGTTCTTGTTTGTATATTAATATCAACTTTTCCAATATTATTACCCCAGAGTCATCTTGGTTTCCATTCTACGATCTCATCATTAAATAACACATATTTTCCAAAATAACATTGACAGTCTACCCTAATTCTATTTTCAGCTGTTACTAAGACCCATATTCTTTCATCCATGAATTATGTTGTACTATCAGAAATTTAAAAATCTTGCCATGGCTTGCCTTGTTTTGTGAAATGGCAAAAATGGCCAAGATATGAATTAAGTAAGTATACTTCAGAGTCTGGCTTTTCTCTCCAGAATTCAGTCCTTTGTGTTTCAGGATGGAGTTAGCAGGAAGAACCGTTGGGGCCTAAGAATTCAGTAAGTTGTGACAATTCCTCATACAAACTACTTGTTTCTACTTTCATTATGTATATTTTGGGAATATATGTGAGGTACTCCTGGGTCAGTGAGTAGGATGTTGAGGCCAAAAAGAAGAGGGACTGTTACATCGCTGGCCCTTCTCTGGTACTACACTCCCAATAGGTGCAAAATTGCATCAGGTTTTTGAGGTATTAACAGGCTGAACTGACAATTAGCAGTCTTACGTAGTCGTCTACAATCAAGGACTTGAGCTCTTTACCTCTTTAGCAGTCAGTAAGTTATATGAAAACAGAAAGAAATAAAATGAAAAAGAGAGCCATGGATATTTTTAAGACTGTGGTCTTTAAACAGGAGTCAGGTTCTAAAGAGGATACTTATGGCATCTCTCTCTACATTTCATTATGTTTTGTGAATCATTGGCTTTCATCATTCTCATAAAATGCTAACTTCTTATTTACTTTGTTGCTCAAACCAGTCTCAAGGGTCTTATTCCTGAAAGGATGTGGTCTCATCTACTCAGTGCTTTATTTTTTAAACTTCTGTATATAACTTTTGAACTCAAAACTGTTACTTGGATTGGACTAAGCCATTTCTGAAACATGCCTTACCTGCTTTGTGATTGCTAGTCTTGCAAGTACTCTTCCATTTTCCAAATTCTAACCATTTTTAGGACTGATGATATATATTATCTGGTTTTATTAAGGACTTTTTTGTTTGATCATGTATATGCTTTTGTCTGTGCTTTCTTCTCATTCTCTAAACTCTTCAGTGCATTTAAACTTCACTACTCATTGTTAATACTGGATTGTATCTGAATGTATATTTTGGCTGTTTGATGTTGGTGTCTTCTAGAGTGTAAGCTCCCGGAGAGCAGAAATAATGTCATTTTGTTTTCTTCATGGTGTCAATAATTTCTTAAATGCCTAGTAAATCTCTGTGGAAGGAGGTTTGAAGCTTATGACTTGAAAGTTATGTTTATGAACTGGCCTGATAGGGAATACATCTCATAGGCATTGGTCTAGTCCTTAGAACTTCCCTTGCTAGGTGAAGGGAATAAAACCAAATAGGTGTGCCATTTTGTCAGACAGATCCACTTGATATGTAGCTTAGGTTTCACTAGCATAGAGTAGATTCTATGACTCTGTTGTCTAATTAGTAAGTATTCAATGAATGCTTAGTGTCAGCGCATGGGACTCAGCCTTTGGTGCCACATAATGACAAAGACATTTAGGGAGGAAAGAAAAAAAAAATGAAAGAAATGAAATTGAAGATTAATGATAGAGATAAGAATTCTGGGAAACTAATATTTGACTCCTGGTGTACCCCACTGTACAGAATTTCTTACAGCATAAAATTCCATCTAGTTCATGGACCAATTTGCTCTGCTCTTATTTTCTTTCTGTTTTCTTGCTTTTCCAAACTTGTTTTGCTATGGAAACTTTCTAGTGTAGTAGTGACATCTCTTCACGCAACATGGTTGTATAAAATTTTTAACACACAATTATTTTTTAATATTTTTTTAAACTTACCATCTTTCTTGTTTGGTCTTTCAGCTTTTCACTAGTTCTGTGCAGATGAATCCCACAGATTACATCAATAATACAAAAGTAAGTTTTAATTCATGTTGCTCAGGACCCATAGTTATAAAAGTCTGAAAACAATCCTAGTAAAAGAGAGCAGTATCACTCACAGTTACAGAAAACATTTTATATTACCTAAGATGTGTGATTGAGATAGTAAAATACTAGATGAAAACCAAGCATTTGGTTACGGGGTTTTTCTTTCATTGCCAGATTCTGCTGACATATGTGGGATTCACTGTCAGTATGAAGTCAGCCTTTTGGTGCTGGAAAGTCACCTGGCTTTGACTTGTTCAAGTATTTCTTTGAAATAAATGGTTGACATATGATTTTTGCATTTCACATTCTCATTGTATATAAGCAGCTTCTCAGCCTTTTTTTTTTAAATTAGAAAATATATTAATACACACGAATTTTTAGTAACTGAAAGAAAAACAAATTCATACAGTAGGATAGGGGCTGTAAGTTTTTTTCTTTTTTAAACCATAAATAATATTTCAGCAAATACATATTCCAGTTGGGCCTAGCAAATTGACAGGATTCCTTAAAACTTTTTAATGTATAGTAAGGACAGTTTGATGTCATAACAAATGGTTATACACTTTGTTTTGTGTAGCTTACCATCTTGACTAATGCACTCCCTGTTTCTTACATGTACACTGAGTTGTTCAACCTTAATTTTTCACTGGTGACAAAAGTAAATCATGTTCAGATTCTAGATTAGTAAAATCAGAATTACATTTTTATTCCTGTTGTTTAATATAAAAGTGAGACATCTCAAATATAAGCAATTAACAGTGGTGAGTTGAATTTTTCTGTTGTCATGTGTAAGGACATAGCTTGGCTAGATTTCTCACATTTTTATAGATATATCTTGACTATCTTTGAGCTTCAAAAGTTTGTGAATTTGTAAAGTAAGAAATTCATCATATATTATTTGGGTAATTTATATCAGTAATTGGCATACTATTTACTATACTGTAGATGCCACATTATTTTTTTTTAATTTTGCAGGCTGTATATCACAACTAATGCTATAATTGTAAGCTTAAAATAGATTTGGATAATACATAAAAGAATATGAGGCTGTATTCCACTAGACTTTTTAAATAAATGGGCAGTATGCTGAATTTTGCCACCATTTACCTAGGTTTATAATATAAATTTCCATCAGCCATCTAAGTTGTTTCCGTAAATATGACTATCTATTGAATGTTATTAAATGATACCATATTTTAGTTTTGTCAATGTGCTGCTTTACTGGTTTTGCTAGAAACAGTTATTTTTCTTGGGTCATTCTCCTTATTGTAAAAACTAATAACTTGAGTATGGTTTTCAGAAATAGTTAACCAAGAAAAGTTGTATATGATTTTTCATTATGGTTCTGAGTCCAGAGTAACTGAGAATTATGGGTGTTTTATATGTCATTCTTTATGACAAAGATACATGATATGAATTACCACATTTTCCTAATCTGGAAGTCTTAGTATGACTATCTGAGTGGGCATTACTAGTGAGTACAAATTTGTATGAGAAGGGAAATCCATTTATTATCCTGGTTTTCAGATTTTAGATTATCAATAGTGGCATTCTTGGGAAATGCCTATTTTAGGGAATATAAAAATGGAATTAATATTTTGTGACTACTAAAAGTGATGAACTGTTTCCACTTAAATGTTTGGAATGGTTTAGTTTTTATTACAGGGCCATTATCTTTGTGGAATCTTGTAAACTTTTACTGTTTCATTTTATGGTCAGAGGAATTGTAGGACTCATACAGATGTCTATAATACCATACATACTAACATAACATGTAGAAATTTAGGACTTGTAGTATCTGGAACTTAGGAGTTATTTAGAGGTAATTATGAGCCTCCTGCACCTCAGAGTTTGAACATCGATGAAAAGATCACTGAAGAAATTTATAGATTTAATTCTCCTATGATAATCAGAATTCTGAAAGAAGATAGTGGCTGAAAGAAACAATCTAAATGAAAGGAAATAACCTAGAGTCACAAAAAGGACAAGAAGCACCATCTCAACTTTGAGGCTTCTAAGAAGAGGGAGAGTTTTAAAGCTACCACAGTGTCACCCTTAGCTGCTTTACATTTGTTTGTGCTAGATGTTGTGTCTACGTGAAGAAAATTGTGTGATGCATTTTTAATCAAAACTGCTTAAAAGGCATATTTAATTATCCCTACTAGCATTTGAAACCAGATATCTCTGATTCAGTCCCATTTTTTTTGTCTTGACAAATTCTGTCTGTTGTATTATTGAAATACCCTCTTCTTTCATCCTAGATCAGGAACTTTATTTATTCCCCTTAAGGACAAGTTTCTTAACCAGTTTTGTTAACTCTAGTCAATTCTCTTCTTTCGTTCATCTTTCCTGATGTCCTCCTTTCCAGTATACATCAGATGTATCAGTATTACATATTTCATCAGCTTTTAATTTTTGATTCTTTGAAACAAGTTTCTATGAAACAAGTATTTTTATGTATTTTTTTCTTTTAGTCTGAGAATAAAGGATTAGAAGTTACCAAGAACAATGTAGTTCAGCAAGTTTCAGTGTCAGAAGAGGGAAGAAAATCTAAGTCTAAACCTGGTAAGCATGGAAATAGTTTCGGTTTCTGTAGGTTTTTGTTTTGTTTTATTTTGTTTTAAGAGCTTAATGTAGAAACTAATGCAAACCGTGGAAAATCTTGTTGTACTTCACAGCTCAACAGGCTGTGCTATAATAGCTCAGTGATAGAGCTTTGCACGGGATGTGCAAGGCCGTGTGCTCAATCCTCAGCACCACAAAAAACAAAACCCGTAAAACAAGTGAATACAAGTTGCTGACTTCACTTCTCTGCATGATATCTCAGGGCTCTAGCATTTAAATGAAGCTGGATTAGTGAGGCGATGGTTCTTATAGTTGGACTTTTTTCTTATTTAGCTTTAGGAGACTTGAATGATCTCATTTCTAGATTGGTTAATGAAAAGTTAATTTTCCTGAGTTAGTGTTTTAAAACTTTAAAGTATATAATTTCTTATTTGGGTATATAAGAGTATTTTCTGATCTTTATAGATAAGCAACTTATCCAGTATACTGCCTTTCCACTTCTTGCATTCCTTGATGGGAACCCTGCTTCTGCTATTGAACAGGGAAGTACAACATCATCAGAAGTTGCACCCTCTGCAGATAAACCTGTAGAAGTTGATGAGCTGCTTGATAGCAGCCTGGACCCAGAACCAACCCAGAGTAAGCTCGTTCGTCTAGAACCATTGACTGAAGCCGAAGCGAGTGAAGCCACACTGTTTTATTTATGTGAACTTGCTCCTGCACCTCTGGATAGTGAAATGCCTCTTTTAGATAGTTAAATCCCCAGGAAGTGGACACTACATGTATATATTCATCAAAATGATGAACTATTTATTTTAAAGTATCATTTGGTACTTTTTTGTAAATTACTTTTTTTGTTTATAATCAGATACTGTGGAATAAAAGCATCTTTTGCTTTTCTGACTAACCATACTCTTGCAAAGCTTTCAGATGTTACTCAGCTGTCTAGGTATGTAAACATTAATACACAGTACTGGTATATCTTTAAGTTGGATTCAAATGACCGTTTTTTCCAATTGTAATTTGGATTTATTTTTTATAAATGTGACCATTAATCCCAGTTAAACTTGTTTTACTTGTTCAATGCTATTCTCAGTTAAGTCTCCAGAACTAAAGGTAGCCCACCTAAAGCTTTTCCTGGTTCAGTTACTTTTATTATTTTTTCACTTATTTTATAAACTGGGAACATGAAGTGCCTGTATCTTGTAATATTTCATGTCTCTCTTGGTTCAGAGAAACTCACTTATGTTCAGAGAAGCTTATTCAGGTTCAACAGAAAAGGCAAAGTGTACACAAGTAATGACTGTTTGGTATGGTTTCAGCTTCATAAAGAATATAGAGACAGGTTGGAGTTAATTAACCCCATCCACTTAGACTAGATGTAAGGAAAGGTTTTCTGACTTGTGTTCTTTTAAACCATGCTATTTAGTAAAATAAATATAATAAATATTGAATACTAGTATTTGTTATGTGTTGTCTTTAGATGTGATGCTCTCAAGATTTTTTTTTTTTTTCCTCATAGGAAGGAGGTGTTTTTAAGCTGTAGGCGCTATCCATTTTTATCTCAATATGCGTCATATCAAGATCTTTCTGTCTCATCTGAAAAAATAGACTGTATATTGCAGTAAGGGAGGAATATGATGTTTCTCATTTTAATTTATTTTAATTTTCTTTGTTTAAAATTATATTGGCTTACTTTCTATGTTTCTAATAAAGAACTGAGAGAAGTATGCCTCTCACTGTTGCAAATAAGGTAAGAACATCATCACTGGATGTCACCAAATGCTTACATAATTTTGCCCTGAGACCAGAGAATCAAATCAATTTGCCCCTTTGGGACAATTAGAAGAATTAGAGAAGCTTTAACTTTAAGACAAGGGCACTTTATCACTTGATGAAATGCACCTTCAGGCAGAGGGCTAGGTGGAGTGCAGTTAATACCTGAATATTGTATAGGATTATGCAATGAAGAACTTCAAAAAGGCTTTTCTTTTTGGCTGTATTTTGCCTTAGGTATTAGAAATTTTCTTCTATGTTATAAATTTAAGATTCAAGCTAAGACCTAGCCTAACATATTCAAGGCCCCAGGTTCAGGCTGGACACTAATTCAGAACTTGGGTGGCAGAGGCCCTAGCTCCAACAATAGAATTTTGTTGATATAAGACCTACAGCAGTTTCCAAAATGAATTAAGTGATCACTATTCTAAAGCTTGTTTAAATAGGGAGGAATTTAGAAATAATGCTTAAGAGATTTTTCTCTTCTCTTTTGTTATTGTGAACTGGGATCCAGTTCCTTCTCTTTGGGGTCATTTTGGAGCTCAAAATTTCAACTTTGTATTAGTAGAGTGAGTGAGTAGAGCACATTCTGCTCTGTGCATGTAGAGGTCAGAAAACAGCAATGTCCCCCAGCTCTTATCTGATAGTTTTTAAGTTGGCATTTAATATTTTTCAACTTAAATATAAAACACAGGAGTTACCCTTCTGTCAAATGTGTTCAGGTGAATCAAAATGGATACATACTATAGTGATTTGTTCTTACTAATTTCTTCTGCTTTCTCCAAAGAATTTTATCGTGTGTGAAATTACACATTGATGATCCTGTGAGTCTTAACGTCAGCTGAGAAATAGTCTTGTAACTGAGATTTCTAGACATGTAAAAAGCCTGTGTCTAATTATAAATATACAAATAAATGATCAAGTACAAATACATGTGGTAGCAACAGTTAGCTAGATGAAGCTTTCTGTCATGAAGCTAGGTTATATGCTTTTGCAGTGGGCTCTGTAAGTTCTAATAAATCAGCAGAAGAAATGAAGCCTAGCATTGGTCTTTTCTGATTCCCCCCCTCCCTCCCAGGCATTCCTCCACTGGCTTGATGCAGAGAAGTATGTAGTTTCTAGTATGTATTCAAGAAAGAACAAACTTGGCTTTCCAAATTCCTATTTACAGGAGAGCTACTCGTCACTCCTCTGCACCTGTTTTAGACTTTGGTTTACATAGTAGTAAACTTTTTTGATTAAATATTGAGTTTTTTAGATATGTTGAAGCTTTTAGTGTTCACTGATACCGAAGAGTCCAAATTTTGATGACTTGTTAAATATAAAATATGAAATGTTTTCAGAAATACATCCTTTAGTGAGAATAGTAGGATTTAAGGACTTAAAATAAAGGCTTTTGAGCATGAGTTTTATAATTTTCATTTTTATTGATAACAACCTATAAGAAACTTAATGTAAAATAACGTAAGAGTAAGTTTTGAATTTTATTTATTTTTATTTTATGTATATGTGTGTTTTGTCTGCATTTAAATCCACCTTACGTGTATAGTGCCCATGGAGGCCAGAAAAGGGCATCAGGTCCCCTGGAGTTAGGGACAGTTGTTAGCCACCATGTAAGTGCTGGTAACCAAATCCATCTCTCTAGCCCCATAAGAGGAGTTTTGTTACAATAGATATTAGTTCTTTGAACTTTTAGAATTATACATCAGAATTCACTATTACTAGGTTATTTTTGTGCTGCTCGTGACTTGACCAGGTCAGCTTTCATATTGTTGAAAGCAGGATCAGAAAGATATAAACAAACTTGAAAACTTACAAAATACACAAGTATCCTACATAGATACCTTAACCAAACTATTTCACTAAAAACAATGAATAATCCTATATCTACTAAACTGTATCAGTAACTGCAATGATAGGAGGGAGGAATTGGCTTATTTTATTAGAAGGTTGTCACTACTCAAGAAGCAGTATGGTATTTGCCTTTTAGAAATACATTTTTATTGATTCTTTGAAAATTTCATAGTGTATTTTGATCATATTCATATACCTACCTCTACCCTTCCCCTTCCCCCATGATTTCATGTCCTCTGCTATTTTCTTTTGTTAAAGACCTATTGAGTCTAATTTGTGCTCCCCAGATGCTCTTATGTGTAGTTCATATCTTGGATCTGGTCAGCCTACCAGGCATTTTCTCCCTCTCCCAGCAGTTGTCGGTTGCCAAAGTGGGCTTGTATTAGTTGTATTGCAAATTCCAGGACAACCATTGGAAAGCATTTTAAGTATAACTGATGGGGCTGCAGAGATGGCTTAATGGGGACAGTACTTGTCATGCAGTCCCTAGAGGTTGAACCCCCAGAACCCACATAAAACTAGGCCGTATCAGCATCACAGCTGCTTGTAATCCCAGTACTTGGGAGAAGGATCCTCAGGGCAAGCTCTAGTTTTAGCAAGACCCACGCCTCAATGAATAAAGTGAAAAGCAATTGAGGAAGATACCCGATGTCAACGTTAGGCCTCCACACAGTGCACCCACAAACATGCAAACATGGATGTGCAGATACCACACATTTTTAAATGTGTAACTGATAATCTGAAAGAGTCACAGAAAAAGATCTTAAAACAAAAAACTATGAAAAACAAGTAGAAGCAAGGAGCAAGGACAACAGATAGAAAACCGTAACAATACTGCATCAACAATTTGAGAGTCAGTGGCCAACTGTGTTAAGACAAAAGATTGTTGGAGTGAACTGAATATCAAGACCAACTGTATTTTTACAAAAAAGACACTAAGAAATTTAAAACACAGATTACAAGGAGGAGGAAAAGCACTATATTGACAGCTAATCAAAACAAAGTGGAGGAAGTTTTATTAATTTCATAAGAGTATAAAACAAGGATTATTGTAAGAGCAGTTTACATAATGAAAGGGTCTGATGCTCTTCAAAAAGATCTATCCTTAATGTATATACAGCAAAGACCAGAATATTGGCATACATGAGGTGAAACTGTTGAACTTGGAGAGAGCAATAGATTAGTTCATTATGCTTGTTGAGACCTCCCCTCTACCAAATATGGACATTTCTAGCAGGCAGAACATTATTAAGGATATAGATGAACTCAAAAACACCAGGAATTAGCAAGATAGAGTTTACATACATGGCTATATAATGGTTGCATTTAAATATACCTTAAATTTAAAGGGATACAGTATCTGCTTTCAAAACACATGAAACTCAATTAGAAATCAGTGAAAGAACTAGAAAAAGTCACTATTAACACTTGTAAATAATGCATGGGTCAAAGAAGACAGAGTCGTATTTTTGAATAGAAGACAAAACTCAGCAAAACTTTTAGAGTGTAGTGAAAGGGGTGCTTGGAACAAATAGTACTGAAAGTAAGAAAAGATCTAAAGGAAGTTTTCACCTTAGTAAATTAAATCCATCCTAACATGAAGAAAAAAAAAAAAAAGAAACCAAAGAAATTGAGAAGAGAATAGCAAAAACAAAATCAGAAAATGATTTTTTTCAAAAAAAAAAAAAAAAGGGCACAAGAAGCCACTTTCCTGTGAAGGCATCTTTTTAGTTCCTGTGGACATTACAAGTATAATCAAGGATTAAGAACAAGTGTATGCCTGCAAACATGATGATCTACTTGAAATGGACAGTCTTTACAGGCATAATCTGTCAGAACTCACATCATAAGAAGCAAGCACTCTGATTAGGCCTATATTTATTTTTAATGGAATCAATTATCTGTTACCTTCCCTGGTCTCTGTATGGGTTGACTAGTGAATTCTACCAAACTTTTAAAGAATCTACCCATTTTCTATAATCTCGGTTAGAAGAAAGTAGAAAATAAAATTCTTTCTCTGAGGCCAGCATCATCCTTAATACAGAAGTCATATAGTACGAAAAATACAGACCACAATCTGATGGACATATATGTAAAATCATCAAAAAATAACAAATGAAATCCAACAGTGTACAAAGATAAGTAAACATTAGGACCAAGTGAGATGTATCCAGGTTTACTAAGCTCCTTAGAACATTTGAAAATATGATCTATCAGATTAGTAAACTAAGGAATGAATTGCGGTTATATCAATAGATGTGGAAAAATACTTGAATCTAAAACCCATTTATGCTGAAAACAATTGGAGAACATTCTCAGCTTCATAAAGAATATATACATCTATAAAACAAAACTGACTGCTAACATAATGGTGAGGAATTAAAAGCTAAGATCAGGATGAAGGCAAAGTAGGGACATCTCATTCAGTCATTCCTCATAATTGAATAATGAAGTAATATTTAAATGGTTACTGATTGAAAGAAATTGTCTTTTGTTGCAGAGGACAACTGTGCAGGCATAACCTCTGGCTTAGTAGGTTGCTTGTGCCTCAGGACAGTTATGAATGTCCCTCAACACAAAATTGTTAACCTAGGTAACTCAATTGCATGGTTCCTGTGTGAACTATGTAGATGACAACATTCAATTCCAATGTCAAAAGCTTGGACGTGCCTGATGAAGACAATAGAAAAAAATACTTCTGGAATTCACCAGTTTCTTTCTTTCATAACAGCAGTGAACAAATAAACCTTAAATTAAAAATAACATATTACCATCCCATGAAATGAAATTGGGCCTAAATCTAACAAAATGTGTTAAGATCCACATGAGAAAAACTGCAAAGTTGATGGGAGAAATCAAAGAGTTAAATCACTTCAGGGGCCCCATGATTGTAGACAGAAAGAAAATATTTTCACATCAGTTCTTTCCAACTTGATCTGTACATTGAATGCAATCTCATTTAAATTCCAGCAATATTTTGTGGGCATTGTTTATTTTTCTTAAATACTTATTTTTATTTTACATGTATGAGTGTATTGCTAGCATGTATGTGAGTGCACCCGTGTCATGCAGTGCTGTGGAGGTCAGAAGAGGCCTTTGGATTCCCCTGGAACTGGAGTTAAGGACGGTTTGTGGCCACCATGTGGGTGCTGGGAATCGAGCCCGGGTCCTCTGCAAGAAGTCAGTGCTCTTAACCACTGAGCCATCTCTCCAGTCGGCATTTATGTTTAAATTTAGTAGCCAACATCAGAGGACTGACACTGCCCATCTTCATGACTTAGTATAATTAAGTAATCAGTGTGATGTCAAAAAGAATATACAAATAGAAAAAAAAATAAAGTCCAGAAACAGACCTATATAATTAGTCAAATAATTATATTTGACAAGAGGCAATGCAATGAGCAGATAGACTTTTCAGCAAATGGTGCCAGAACTGGGCATGCAAAAAAATAAACCAAATATTTCATCATAAACAAAAGTTAAAACAGACTGCAGAACTGAAAGACTAGGGGACCTTGAATTTGGTGATGACTTTTTTTTGAAGTTGGTGTTACATTCCCCAACTTTGGTGTTAAATGACATCAATAGTATGGTGTGGTTTATGAAAGACTTGATAAACTAGACAGTTGAAAGTGAAGACACATTAACTGGGAGAAAATGTTTACAGAACATAGATCTGATAAAGTAATGTTGCTTAAAAATATAAATAGAACTCTCAGTACTAAAAAAAAAAAAATCAAAAAAGTGGGCAGAAGCCAGACAAGAGTAGCACATGCCTGTAATCTCAGCACTTGGGAAGGTGAGACAGGATTATTGCAGGCCAGCCTGGACTACATATTCAGCACACTGAGTTCAGTCCAAAACAAGGAAAAGACCTTAGCAGGTACTTCACCACAGAAGACTCACACAGGGCAAACGAGTGACATCAAGGAATACAGATTAAAATCCAATTGTGCTTCTGTTTGAATGACCAAATTTTATATTAACATGAAATGTTGAAGATAGTAAAAACAGAAATTCTCATTGATGATAGTATGGGCATTTTTAAGACAACCTTGCAATTTCTTAAAATGCACAGAAAATATGTCTCATAGCCAGGGGTTGGTAGAATGGGACACAGAAGCACAATGGACTTTTAGGGCCAATCGAACTATCTGTACAATACTGTCATTATGGAGGATGGCATACATGTATTTATTGAAACTTAAGGTACCTTGAAATACCAAGAGTGACTTCTGATCTGATGGAAATTAACAGATTTAGTGCGATAATGTACCAGTGCTGGCTCGTGAACTGCAACAAATTGATCACAGTGGTAGGAGAATGTTGGTAATAGAAGTTACGCATATGGGGTGGGATGAAAAATGGGAAATTTTTATGCTTCCTACTGGGTTTTACTATAAACTCAGGTGTCTTTGGAAACAAACATGACCCATCCACAAGGGTATTTGACTTCAACTAATCCATTCCGTTTCTTTTTTAAGAATGTAGAATTAGAATTATGCTAAATGTGCTCTTGTAATTGGTGTTTTTATAGCTTCTAAGTTGTATCACATGGTATAGCTTTTAATTTACACACTGAAGGATATCTAAGTTCTGTAGTTTTGGCTAGGCTATTACAAGTTGCTATAGTGGCTAGATGGCAGAGTGGTTAAGAACACATACTGCTCTTCCAGAGGACAAGAGTTCAGTTCCCAGCACCCATGTTGGGCCAATCACAACTGCCTATAACTACAACTCCAGGGGATGAGATACCCTTTTCTGGCCTCCACTGGCACACACACATGTACACACACAGACATTAAAAATTGTAGAAATTTTCCTTAGTACAGATTTTTGAAGGACCTAAGATTTACCTGGGGTTAGTGCCCCAAAATTATAGAGGCAGTTTCCTATGTAGAAAATAATTTAAAAATAATTATTAAATAAAATACACTAAAGTTTGACAACCACTATAATTTGAATATTCCCATGTTTTAAAAGCATGCTTCCCCAGGATGACATGATTAGGTAGTGATAAGAAACTTTAGGAAGTAGGGTGTTGTGGACGTGTCCTGGAAGGATGCATTCCTGGTTCTGTGTGTGTGTCCATCCAGAGTCTTGCTTGTTCTGCCATGGTCATGATACCTTGATAGATCTGACTACGGACTGGAATCTTCAGAATTAAAAGCCATCATCTTTGCTGTTTGTAAGTCCTCTCAATTACTACTATTATAGGAAGCAGTTAATGTATTAATTCATGGGTAGTAGTATTTTAATTACATTGTATTTTTTTTCCCTCAGTAAGGGAAAATTTTATACTGTCTTAAGTGTTGGTTAAAGAAAAAAACAGCCACAACTAGGATAAAATAGAGAACACAGTAAGTAGTGTGCAGCATCTATTTTAGAAATATAATTAGATGCCACTAACCAGTTATTGCTGCTGAACTAGTTCATGGACTAAATAAAGGCTCTTGAAGGGGGAGAACACCATCTTACCTTTAAGAACCAACTTGAGGATTCATTTATAGCTACTAAAAGGTTAAATTCAATACAATTCATTTATCAGGGTAGAGAATGGGCATTTGCTCTCCACAGCCAAGTTATTTTTCACACAGGAAAAAAGAGTGCTAAATTCACCTAAATTTGTGACACTAAAGAATTAACACTACACATTTTCTCTGAATTCATTTATTTAAGATGGAACATCGGCATTCAAAATTGTGGAACACAATATCAACACACAGAATAGGTTGGGAAATTCAGATGAATTGTTATATTCCATTTACACAGTATTAAGTAAATACAGATTATTAAAAGCTTCACTACACTAATTCACACAGTTTTTCTATCTAAATTGGCATACTGACTTTCAGGTTGAATGGTTATTGGTTATAATCATATAGCAGTTATATAACAATAAATACAAAAGCAGTTTAAACATGTAGTACAATGTAAGCGTGAGTCTATTCTACAACAGTCTATTATCCCCCTGGTCTTAGTGTCAGATAAGAAGCATGCTGGACAGCAGCAATACATACTACATAAATTATTCACCATTAATGATTTATAAAGTTAAGTATTTTGAATACAAATTATTTTAATGTCAGAATGCTGGCTATTTTGGGTAGACTTAGAATTTCCTTACTTTGCCACTAATTAGCTATTGGTGCTATTTAAGATTTTGCTTCAGTCCATTTTTGAAATGAGATCTGAACTAGATTTTTAAGTACCTACCCAAAAACAAACAGCCTGCTACTTTGTAGTTTCCTCCTGACCTATCAGAAGTTTCTCATTTTTTATTTGCAAACTTTTAGTTTCAACATCTTTTAACACATAATTATCCTTTTTGAAACCTTGTCTAAATCTTTGAGTTGCTAACATCCCTTTGAAATTCATTAATTGCACATCAGTTCACAAAGACCAAAACAGTTCATTTTGTTGGTGAAAGCCATGCTTTGTACAGAGAAAGATCATGATCTCATTGAGTATTCAATATAATACCCATCACCAATGACTTTCTGTGATCATGGGACATTCCCTATCTATTAAGGGAAAATTTTGACCAAGTTGAGGTGACCTGCATTTTTTAGACAACTAGCTTGAGATTTATGCAATCTAGAATAGCCATTTTCTTTGCAGTCCTCTGTAAGGCAACACATCAAGTATTTCTAAAGGCAGCCATACATTTATTTTTATGTTTCTAAAGTAGCATAAGGTCTAACACAAGTTTGTAACCAAACTGACAAACATTTTTTTCACTTTTAATTTCACATGAACATAGAAAATAATGCCTACCAATGTCCACTTTTCCTAATTTGCTACCATATTTGAAATTCTCCCTTTGCAACTCTAATTCAATGCACTTAGCAAGAACATGAATAAAATGGCAAGGAGTAAATCTAATTCATGCCAGAGAAACACTGGAGAAGTTATGTAAGAGCACACACATATACAACTTTACAAAAGTTGGGAATACTGTTGATTTCAAACAGTGACTGAAGTGCAGCTTTCATGGCAGAGGATCTATTCAATCAAAATCACGATTTGTGAGAACAAGTGGTGCCACCAGTGTCCAAACATACAGAACGATGCCAAGCCAACTAGAAGAGATTTTCACCCAGACTGCTGTCCACTGGCTTTTCATCTCATGAGAAGGCTCATACCTAAAATTTGAGGAAAAGCAGAAAAGGATGGGGGGATGTTTGTATGGCCATCGAGCTACTAGATTCATTAAAATTAGCTGCATCTAACTTTGTTGATTGCCTTCCATTACAGATTTAACAGGTAGTATGGAGGTAACCATCAGTAATTCCCTTTAATGAAACACACAGCCCTCTGAAGCAATTCTTTTGCATATTTCTCTGAGGCACTGTGTGCTGGATAGCTTTAGTGTCAACTTGACACACCTGGGTTGAGGGAGCCTCAATTGGGGAATTTCCTTCATTGGACTGGCCTGTGGCCATGTCGGGGCACCTTGATTGTTCAGTGATGTGGGAGGGCCTAGCCCACTGTGGGTGGTGTCACCCCTGGGCAGGTGGGCCTGATGCTGCATAAGAAAGAAGGCTGAGCAGGGGCCAGGGGAGCAAGCCAGTAAGCAGCATTCCTCCATGGCCTGTGCTTCAGCTCCTCCTTCCAGGTTCCTGCCCTGAGTTCCTACCTTGGGCTCCCTGATGAACTGTGACCTGGGAGATGAAAGATAAAATAAACCCTTTCCTCCCCAAGTTTGTAATGGTCAGAATATTTTGTCACAGCAATGAACAAACTAGGACACACTGTACATAGTTCTTCCATATTACTAAATAGAAATGGAAAGATACCTCCAGGCAAATGTCACTGTTAGATAGAATTCTGTTTAGAATGTATATAGGATCTCCTTCCCAACCTACACCAACTTTCCCTGCCTTCTCAGATCTGACATGGGGAATGAAATGATGAAATGTATCCCAAAGTTAGCAGAGTTTTGTGTTAATACTTTTAGAGCTAAATTGTTTATTTTTTGGTCTTTTTGAGACAGGGTCTTCTTGTAGCCCCAGCTGACCTGAAACTTGCTGTGTAGATCAGGCCTTGAACCCACAGAGAACCACCTGCCTCTGCCTCTGGGATTAATGGTGTATGCCACTACTCATGATTTACTTAGATCTAAATTCTTAACATTTGCTATTATCTGACCATAAAAGCTCTTAACTACTGAGAATTACTTAAATCTTAGCTCAATTTGATATAGTTTAGGGACATTGTTTTTCAATAATAGAAATGATCAAATGCTGTCCTCAAAAACAACAGAAAATAATCTTTCCCATCTTTTGCTAGTACTACAAGTCATCTTACTTGTTACTTAAAGACACTGTGCATCAAAAAAAAAAAAACCCAGAGGCTGGAGAGATGGCTCAGCAGCAGAGCACTGGCAGCTCTTACAGGGCACCCAGGTTCAGTTCCCAGCACCTACATGACAGCTAGCTACCATTCCTAACTGCAGTACTAGGGGATATCTCTTCGGGCCTCGGCAGACACTGTACATATGTAGTGCACCTACGTACATGCAGGCAGGCACATAAAATAAAATCAGTTTTAAAATTATTTTAAAAATATACTTGCCCAACCATATAGATCGATATTGAACCTTCTTGCATAGAATCTTGCAGTAATCATTTTTCAACACTATAAATTGTTACTTTAACAAAAATATTTATGAATTAGTTTTAAGGGGATAAAGAAATCATAGATTACAACCTATATTAATGTACTGACATCTCAAAATTTTTTAGATCTTTTAATAAATTTAAAAAATGATGGGCTGAAGAGATGGTACAGCAGCTAAGAGCCAAGTTCAGTTCCCAGCACCTACATGTTGGCTCACAACTGTCCACAACTCCAATTCTAGGGGATCCAGTGCCCTCTTCTGGCCTCTATCGGAATTGCACACACAAATACGTTACATCCATGCAGGCAAAATACTCATACACATAAAATAAAAATCAACCTTTCTTTTTAAGGGTGGTATATTACTATACTATGTTGAGAAAAAAATTAAAGTATTAAAATATAAACAAAAAGAAATGTTATTCTATATCAATTACTAATATGCACTTGCTTAAAACCTGGTTTCAGAGGTTTTCCATTTGAACCTCTTAAAGATTTGGAACTACCAAATGTTTGTGTGTGTAATTGTTAAGTAAAGTCTGCATTTGTTTCTCATACTGGTCTCAGAATTCATTTAGCCAAGCACTGAAATAGACCTTTTTGGTCAGAGGACCAAAAAGTACTTCAAGGTTAGTGAAATGGCTCAGTTGGTAAAGTGTTTACTCTGAACATTAGAATCAGAGTTCAATCCACAGAACCCATATAAAAACACAGAACCCACACAAAAAAGTTGGGTATTGGTAGTGCACAAATTTATAATCTCAGCAATGGGGAGGTAAAAATAGGTCCATCACTGGGGCTTGCCTGCTTACCAAGTTCCAGGACAGTGAGGACCTCAAAAAAAGGGTGAACAGAACCTGAGGAACAACATTTGGGTGTGATCTCTGGACTACACACACACACACACATGCACATGCAAACTGTGTATACATAAAAATGCATTTGCTTAAAAATGTACACACACTTGCATACTCAAAAAAACACTTATCACATCACAGTTTACAAGAGAACCATAAAAAAACCCACCAGAATTATCTGAAGTTATCATGAAATATAAGTACCTGTACCAGTTGGTAAGGGTCATCATGATATAAAGTGAAGCCAGGAAAAGCATGAAGTGAAAGAAGGAATAACTATAAGTGACACCATCCCTTTCATTATCTACAGCCCGGTGCACATCATCACCATCCTCCAGTGATCCATCACTTCTGGCTCCACCATCTTCTATTAATGTTGACTCATCACTTGTTAAAGTCAGTTTATTAACCTGACTATTGTTTGAGGTACGGATGCTGTATGAAAGATCAGGGAGAAAGAAAAGATTTTTAAAATAATTCCAATAGCTAGACTTCCTGTGAAAGGAGATTTGTAGCCTTTTTACCTTGAATAAAACACACACAATAAGAAGAAGATGAGTCCTATGATTCCTTGAGCATGCCACCACTGGACAGACTGCCCTTCCTTTGGGATGGTGCTTGTGGTATTGAAGCCAATTATGCTTAGTAAACTTGGGTTGCAAGTTGTTTCTGTAAGGTAAATTAAGGTCAAATTAAATGTTAGTGTACTTAGAGTAATATAAAAAAATTTTAAGGCATCTTTAACCCTTGGAAATGAAAAAGTTTGTAAAAAAGGCATAAGTTAACAAAGTACTTGAATACAGTTTGTATTAGTGACATTTATAAAGAGTTTTTCCTCCCTTTAAAGCTTTATTTTAGGGGGCTGGAGAGATGGCTCAGCAGGTAAGAACACTGACTGTTCTTGCAGAAGACCCAGGTTCGAATCCCAGCACCCACATGGCAGCTAACAACTGTCCGTAACTCCAGTTCCAGGGGATCCGACAGCCTCTTCTGTCTTCGTGGGCATTGCACAACATGAGTGCACTTACCTATATGCAGGCAATACATGCATACACATAAAATAAAAAAATAAAATATTAAAAAAAAAGCTTTATTTTAGAGAAGTGCTTCAAAAAAAATCACTTCATTTTCAGCCTTACGTGAGAGTCAAGGTATACTGATCAAGAAATGAGCAGGACTTAGACAACCTGTCTAAAGTTTGTACAGTTAGAAATAAAATTCAGATGTTCTAACCCACAGTGCACTGGTTCTTCTAGCACATATTGTGAAACTATTAATATCAACTTAAAGAAATTTACCAATTTGTCAAAGTACATTATTTAAAAAGCAATAAAACTTAAAAAACCAACAAGTGCTGACACATAAGGCACAACAACCTAATGCTTAAGTTCTTTGCTGTTTTGAAAGATGGGCATTCAGTAAGTATCCTATATGTATATTTTTCCCCCAACAAAGCCAAATCTTCAATCCCACCTTATTAATGAAAAACAACATAAGGCTAACTTCTCAAGAGAATCACTAGTAATACTGTAAAGTCACTTATTTGGGAGAAAATGAATGTTCCTCATATACTAAGATCTCTGTCTCTTACAA